TAAAGAAATGGAGTTATAAGAGAACCACACTCCTTTTGTTGTTGTTGTTGTTATACTTCACTTGTCTACCTATCAGAAAATATATTTTGCCTTTGAAAAAAAGGGAAAAAAGAATGTTTAAGTAAGGACTGGATTGTTTAACATTTCTATTAAGTTTAGGGGTTAGGACAAGCTCACTGCAGTGGCTTTTTTAACACCTACAATTTCAAGAGCTTTTCCACTAGAGAATACAGCCTGATAGGTTTTCTGACTTTCAAAAGGTTATGGACTTAAAATCCACTGCCTTTGCATTCAAATTCTACAGTTTACATTTCTTCTTTAAATTGAGAGCTGAATTTTTGCCACTTCATTATATTTCTAAATAAATTACTTCTTAAAAAAAAGAACTTTAAGTACAAAAGAAGGTAAATGGGAAAAAGGAAAAAAGTCAATCATAAGTGTGATAACTTCCAAATGTGCCAAGTTACAAAGGGTTAGCTATTGTGACAGCCAAGTTAAACAAGGCACTTTGGGGGCTCTCTTTCTCCCTGGTTCCCACCATTTCTCTCTACAGGCCCCTGGTATGGGTTTATGAACACCAGAGGGTCCAGATACCCTAATTGTGTCTTGTGTTTAACTTGGCCATTTAAATGTCTAAGTGTTCCCCTCTCTCCTTCCCAGCTTCATAACTTGGCTCTTACTGAATATATCACACCTTTATGTAGTGGACCACTTTTTCCTTCTTACAGTGCTTTTTGGAGTAAATTTCAAAAAAAAAATTGTTTTTATCAGGTAAAATGGCTAAGAAACTTCCATCAGAGAAGCACCACAAAAAAATAGAATAAAGAGCAAGCAAGAAAAATAAAAATAGGTCACAATTGACCAATTTGATGCTACTGATTTGCTGCCTCCAAAAACAAGCTGACAGAACTATTTTCAGGCAAGTAATCTACTCAAATACCATGTCTACTCTCAAGAATTGAGATAAATATCCAAATAATACAAATGGGGTAGAAAGGGTGACTCATTTAATTGTCTGATCATCCATGCCTCTAAATACTGGCTTTAGCTCTCTGTTTCATTAAACAGAAAGGTTATTCTGAAGATTCCTAGCATAAGGACAGAATAAGTTTCTCCACTTTGTATGTGAGCTGCGAGAATTTTGATACTAGGGCTTTTGAGAGGCAGAAGGAGTACAGGAGTTTCATGTTTCAAATTATATTTTGCAGCTTTCACAAATAGAAGAATGAATCCTTTTTAGTGTTTAGTAGTTTTAATGTACTTTAGAGGAGGAAAGAGGCCAAGCAGGGCACTCACTCTCAGGAGGTGGGTTATTAGGACAATTACTCTAAAGTTGACTAACAAACAAAAAACCCTGCATAATTTTTAAGGAAATACAATTATTCATGTAAAATATGTAATTTATGAGACTACCCCAAATAAATTCAACTATTAATAGAATTTCCTGGTAGTCCTTATTTTTAAGCATTTCGGTGAGAACAAAAACTCCCACCTTAACTGTCATTTTGTTTTAATGTTTTTACCTGCCTTATGTAAACTACTCCCCTGAGATATGAGTTTCAAATTATGATATCAAAAGTGACAGCCATATCAGAAATATCTTTTAAACCTTGCCTGTTAAAGAAATAGTGTGGCTGTAGGAGACAAGTTGGAAATTGCACGCAGAACTTCATGTTTTATTTAGAAGAGCACATTGTATTTTCATGGCTTCCAATGTCTCCTTCCAGTTAGTATAAAGTCATCTGCTAGGTTCTGAAATACTGTCACTCATCTAAAACAATCAGAATTTTTATCTTAGCTGGAAAACCACTAATCAGTTCTTCATAAAAGAAGAAACTTAAATCAAGGCTGCCTTCCTATGCCTGCTGCTAGCAAAGTGTTGATCATTACTTAGTATTGATGCCAGGAGATTTGTCACACTACTTCCTTAGCTTTTCTATGATCCAAATGTGACCTTCCAAACAATGTGATAGCATCTACACTCAGAACACTCCTAAAATACATTTTGAAAAAATGGAGACCCTTGCAGGAAGACACTGGGAAATGAAAATAAGTAAAGAAAAGGCTAAGTATTTAACAAGAGCCAGCCACCTAGAATGCCATTCTACTGCTCCAAAACCGCTACTAATATCACAATTATTCATCTGACATCATTCATCTAAATATGTATTTTTCCAGGTAAATGCATCCCCTGAAGAAAAACAAACCCGCTCTTCAGTGAGGACTGTACTATTTTTATTCCTGTCTTCAGCTTCTCACCCCCAAAGCTCAGCCAGCCCACCTGAGGCCATTGGCTCTTCTGGGAGTCCTCCAAGCAGCTGATAGAGAACACCACTGTGTTCCGTGCCCACATAGAAAATGGAAGCTAAATCTTTGTTTTTAATGTAAATATTTTATTTAGAGCTTGGCAGTTGAAACACAGGTGCTGTTGTCTTCATGGAGAAGATATTTGAATATTTTTGCAATACGACTATATGACAAAAGAATAAAAGGCCCTCTTTGCTCTTTGCTTATTTTCACTTGCTATTTTTTGCTTATTAAGAACTGCACAGGTCTCACTCCCACACATTTTACAATTCGACTGATCCAAGATTGCCCTGCGAACGCTGCCAACTGAAGGCTTCACTTGCTATCCATAAAATCCTACGTGCGGGAGAATACATCCTCTTTAGGAAGCACGGGGAGCATTGGCACCCACAATCAACAGAACTTCCACTGTGAGATCATTCCAAAGGCGGGTGAACTGAATACTCACAAGATGAGCAAAACTACCAATTGTGCAAACTTCAATAAACTTTTTAAAAATAAAAAGCCTCCTACATTACTAAACAAAAGCCATTGCAGCCCTTTAAACCCGGCTGACAACCAAGCGCTCTCCCATCAAACTCGGAAAGTTCTTCTTTCCAAGTGACTGGGAAGAGGTTTGTCCCGGTACTTCACTCTGTGTGATTTTCAAGGAAGCCAAGATTCTCCCGGCAAGTTCCCCCGACGCGAGCGTGGTCCACGGTTACCCTGACACCCGCGCACGCCCGCGGCGTTTATTTTTTTTTCACTATCAACTCTTGAAATCGTTCAGGCCCCTGGTCTCGGTTTTCCCAGAAAATGTGTGGCCCACGTGAATGTAAATCACCACCCAAAAACGGTGTCAGGACACATGTCAGTGATTCATTTGGTTTTCAAACTAAAACTTCTCCCGTGCTTCAGGAAAAAAAGAAAGCTTTGCAATCCGCGAGGCCCTCCCCCACCCCGTCCCTTCCCAGGAGAAGAAAGGGCTTTGTGTGTGCGGTGAGGGCTCCGTTAATCGAGTTCATAAATACACGTCGGCCGGGCGCCGGGGGGCCGGGGGGCGTAGGGTGCCCGGTTCTGCTCACCCCTCCCCCGGGGCTGGCAGCCGAGTTGGGAGACCGGTGGCAGGAACGGGGGCCCCTGGGCGCCGGGGCCCGGGCTGCGGAGGAGGAAGAGGATGCTGCGCCGCCGGGGACGAGAGGGCGGGGCCGGGCCGAACGGACCTCCGCGGCACCCGGCGGGCCCCGGCGGGCGCACAAGCCACCCTTTGTCCTCGGCCCGTGGGGTCGCGGGGGGCTTCCGCCGCCGTCAGCGGTCGCCCCCGTGCCGTCGCCCGCTTCCATGCCCGCACCTCCTCGGGTGCTCGCGCTCCGCCGCTCTCGGCCTCTGAGCGCCGGACCCCTCCGGGTTCCCCGCGGCCGCCCGCCCCCCGGTTTCCCGGGAGGAGGCTCGGGAAGGTGGAGAAGGTGGAGGAGGAGGTGGAGGAGGAGGTGGAGGAGGAGGAGGAGGA